TTGACAATCTTGTACAAAGATGCGAACATGTTTAACATCAATCAACTTTTAGTATGAAAATCAATGTTGGACAGTCATCCTAGTATTTGAACTATTAAATTAACTTCTATTTCTGTTTACTATTGTTGTTATGTCAAATAATTATATAGGCATCAAACCCAATATTGTGTGATTTTGGGACGGTAGCGGATGATAACACAACTGTTGTTGGTGCTACTCCCTGCTATGCTGAACCGGACGTTGTTGTCCTGGGTATGTCTGATGTTGTAATTTTTGGATTATGTGTTGGTGTTTTGTTTTGGATGACTAATGTTATGTTGCATCCTAATTTTGTTGCAAGGACGAGGGTCCAGAGAAACTGATATTTACAACTTTAGGATCCTGATCCTTCAACTATTATCAAAGCAGAAAGTAATGGTTGCAGAGCCGCTTGCTGATGTTTATAGAGCGTCATACGGCACACTTATAAAGCAAATGATGTTGCGGCGTAACTCAATATTAAAGGACTCCGGTTGCAAGCTATCATTACATCTGAAGCTGCTGAGGCTTGGACTGAACTGCATAGGTCCTGTTGCGAAATGGCCTCCGATAGACAAAACAATGCACAAATTTAGTACGTTGAATTAGAGGGAACTCCAAACTGTGGAGTTGAAGTGACCTTTGAATTGTTAATCAATTTGTTTCTTTCCTGTGAACTTATGTTTTAACACCTTTGAAACCATTTGGAGCTTACACAATTAGTTGTGGGATTTTCATTTCATATATTACATGCAAGAATATGATAGAAAGTAAGTTCTCGAGTTCGTGCTCCTTATATTGCAATTACTTATGAGAATTTTGTTTTCTAGTCAGAGGAAAGTTTTGCAAATTGAAGCTTCCACTTTGATGCAACAAATTAGTTAACATGAGCGCAGTAAAAGATGATAGAGCACAAAGTCTCATGTTAGCTGTCTCACCGGATAACACTAATAGAAAATAGATTATTGGTGGTACACAAAAAGTGTCACCTGAAAAAAAAATGAGTGGACGAATAATCTTTTGTGACATTATTGTGGCACTGATACAAAGTGCCATCAAAACCTCTATGCATAAAATCTTGGCACTATAGAAGGTGCCATGAATTTTTCTGGCACACTCAATCGTACCATAATTAAAACTTGAAATTTTCTATGTTTGTGAAACTTTTGTAAAAGTGGCATGAAGAAGTTTATTGTTGTAGCACTCTCTCTAAAGCGCCATGAAAGATATGTTATATAATGAACGTTTATTTCAATTTTTTTCATAACATGGATCATTGATAAGCCTTCTATGTATTGCTGATATATAAACAAGCACAAATTTGATTTAAAAACATTTAGAATATCCATCAATATCATGAGGGAAATGAATACTAAGTGTTAGAAATATGTACAATTTGTCCACAAATCATTTCGTTAAGCAACTAATGCATACAAATTCATGAATGCTGCATCTATTGATCTTATACTTCTTGTTCTCCTTCAGTAACAGTTCTGCAACAAGATTTATAAAATGACATCAAATGACATGTTACGAGTGCACAAAATAATCAATTGATCATTAACAAAACTAAAAATTGACTATCTAATCTCTAATTAAGCAACATTCTAAGACATTTTGTAGTATCGGTGCCCTGCATCGAAAGAAAGAAAAGGAAAAAGAATGACTTAAGGACTTCGGCTCATGGGCTATCTTGTAATTTGGGTTAATTATTTTGGACCAGTGGATTTTGGTTCAAAAATTACTTGGGCCAGCCTTGGACCCTGATCGTGACAATTGGTATCAGAGCGAATCTCGTGTGCTCTCAGCGCAGGGTGAGTCTGGGCTAGCCAGTTATCATTTCGACTACGCAGCACAGTTTTAAAGGTGGGGAAAATGTAGGATCCGCAACCCACATTGAAAGAAAGTAAAGGAATAAGAATGGTTTAAGGACTTGGGTTCATAGGCTGTTGGATATTTTAATAAAAATATCATTATTATTTTGAATTTATTCACATGCTTATTTTGAATTCAAATGCAATAAGTTACAAAATTTAACATGAATTTTCAGTTACAAGATCACCATTCAAAAGTGTAACTTATGAGATTTATGTCTTGTATTTGTAACCTATGTAATGATTAGGTTTTAAGAATTTATTTATTGAATTTTGACTATTATAGACCTTTTCAAATTTTGTAATTGAAAAATATGACACATTTATTCCATTTAATGGTGGTATTCTAATACTCCTAAAGTTTTAACTATAAATAGAGGTCACTATCAACCATGTTGATACACCTTTTTCTTGCTATCACAAAAAAACTATCTTCCTCTCACTTCTATTGGGCATTAGTTAGGTGTTGAGAAGAGCTTTAGCTTCTCTCAATTGTGTAGATTTAGTAGAAGCAATAGCATCGGCTGGGCTGTTGTATTCCAGAGGCGACGTGCCATCAACCTTCTACATCGGGCATAATCTCGAGAGGGGCGCGAATCGTCTTAAGAGAGACCTAGTCTGCGCCTCACCTAACCAAAATTACTTTATTTCTCTTTCTTTGACTTTTGTTTTGCAGGTTAATCGTGCGTATCAAGTTCTAAAAGAACAACATGGGCTACTTGTAATTTGGGTTAACTATTTTGGGCCAGTGGATTTTGATCCAAAAATTACTCGGCTCAGCTCTTGGAACTGGTGTTTGTTGTCATAGCAGTTCCTCGAGGACGGGTCTTCATATTTGATTCAAAGAAACCAAAAAACTAGCAGCACGTTATGTGCTTGAAAAGAAGCATAATTTCTGATAACACCGGTAGGACTTGCAGATGCAAAGGACCAAGAAATATCCAACAAGTTTCCTATAGCCAAAATCAATTTATCAAGAAAAATAATGTTCAGATACCCCCTAGAGTGATTTACACAGCACAAAAATAGCAACAACAACTGCGAGGAAAAGAAATCAACCAAAATGTCAACACAAAACAAGATACATAGCCGTGAGATAGCTCAAAAAAAATATAGCCATGAGGTCAATCAACATACATATCTAATTTTCCTCAATAACAGAGATTCATTCCACACTTACAGTTTAATTCCCACAGTCCGAGAACCCTCTCCCGGCATAAATTCAAAAGAGCTCTGATACCACCTGTGACGACACCACCTCCCCCTAGGGTGTACCCAAGGGTTTAGCAAACCGCCTGCCTAACTCTCGTCAAGACTCACTTACTCACTTCAAGAAAATAAGTTGCAACTTCAAAAGTAAAAGAAACTATAGTTCCCAAACTTGGAACGTACATATACATTTATTGCTATCTCAACCATTCATACATATCCGAATATAACAAGAGATTCAAATTTTAATTGCACTTCTAACCCTAATCGAGCACTAGCGCTAGTAGAATTATAAAAGTTAAAAGTCAAGACAAAACTAGCCCTTTCAACTTTACGCCTATGCTTGTAACTCCTGTAAGGAAAACAAAAACTAATAGAATGAGTCAAAACTCAGCGAGGTTCCAAAACTTCGTGCAGACCCAAGTAGCAAGTTGGCTATATGTAAAACTTGAAATCTCAAAATGAGCGAGTGTAAAAATTGATAAAAGAAACAATAACACTACAAGTAACAATCATTTCAAAGTATAAGGATACAGACGGTTTTCAAGAGTCAAATTCTCATTGCATTACTTGATCTGAACCTGTTGACACTCTGTCAACGTTTGAAGGAGCAAATCATGACCGTAGATCTCTATTTTACACCAATTTTCATCCACTAAACAATCCCCTACAAGTCCCGAGTTTCAAAATAAAAATGATGGTAATACTCGAGTATTCAAAATTCAGTGGACCATATCCATAGGATTATACAATAAATAATAAACAATAAACAATAAACGGTACCTATGGTTCGCCAGTCTCCTCGACCAATCCCTTACTAGTTCGATTCGACTGGCTAGCCAATAGGGCTAGGATAAAAGTTGTAAGACGGGATCAAAGGCACCTCCCACTCGGATTGAGTATGGTAAATGCTACCGCTCAACACTTACAAATCAAGTACAAGATCTCAGGTAGTATTCAAGTTATACACATGTATGTCAAGTCAATAATAACCAGTAAACAGTAGTAAATCACATTAGGGTAAGTGCAATAAAGTACATCCTTACTCGTCTAAACAAGTCAAGTATTTCTTTCAAATATTAAGTTCAATTATGTACTTGGAAACACTCACCAACAATTTATTTCTTTTCAAAACCACGTCCAAGGTCAACTCCTTGGTTGGAGTCCAAATCTACGATAGAATATCATTGAACAGTTTGAAAGCAATTAGGTTCAAAATATAAGAGTTTTACTTAAAAAAAAAACAAATAAATGAAACTCGTTGAAGTAGTATACATTTCACTTATCAAACTTTAGAAAATTCATGCTCGCTCGTTTGGTTTCGATAAAGAAGCAATTAACACTTTTAAATTCACAATTTGGTTTAAAAGACTAGGAAAACGTATTTAAAGCGCTCGCTACTTTCGCTTTTTAATGGGTACGAGTTTTGGCAAAACAATTTAGCTTATATACCTCTACTAAAGGAAACTTGAATATTCTAGACAACCGAAGTCCAATTCATACCCGAATCACTGCTCAAGTTCCAAGTTCACTCACTTATCTGTCGAATGAAAATTTGGACAGCATACCCTTTGTACTTGTCCAATTTTCTAACCATTTATGCCTTCATTTTTTTCCTCAAATCAGCCCAATTCAAACACACAAGCAAGTATATCAAGATAGCTCTTTCACTAAGTTAAATAACATCAAAATATAACTAATTTCTAGCAACTACTCAATCACAACCAATGCTGAAATTTACTTGCCAAAGCTGAAAATTCAACTTTTAATTCTAAAAAGTAACAATCATGCCACTAATTTTCAGGTCGTCACACTCTCTCTCCCTTAAAATAATTTCAACCTCGGAATTCATATGTTTATTCATAAATAACTCAGGATATTTCTCTTGCATATCCGTCTCTAGTTCCTAGGTCTCACCAATGCCAAAATTTTAGCCAGACAATGAAAAACATGAATCGTTCCTTCTACCACTTTAGACGGGTTGAGTACTGACTGGTGGTTTAAAGTATATACTCTGGTAGGCATTTTAGATCTATTCCCTTCTAGATTTGGTTGTTTAGGGTTTAACCTGAGGGGACAGGTTGCAATCTGGTGCTCAACACTATCACACCATAAATATTTCCGCGCCTTTGGCCAATAATTATCCTCTGTATGATTAGTTTTTCCACAATATCCACAAGATAAGTGAGGGATTGAGGTTGGATCTCCTTGTGAGACACCTCTCAGTTGTCCTCCTCCAATTGGAGCTTCTCTCGGAGCAACTATCTTAAATGTCCCCGAAATTCTCTCACCACCAACTCCTCGACCCACCTTAGGGAGTGCCATGCCTAGATCATCTTGTTCCCGCCGTTGGTATCCACTAGACGCACCTTTCTTTCTTGCATGAAAAGCCTTCACTTGAGCCCTTGTAATTTCTATCCTCTGGGTTTTCTCAAGAATCTCGGTGAATGTATTAATTTGTGTCGCCGCCAAAAATTCCTGTACCTCTACGTTCAACTCATGGACAAACCGTCTCACTCTCCTTTGCTCCATGGTTATGAATTCAGGAGCAAATTTTGATAAATTGGTGAACTGAATCTCATACTCAGATACACTTAAGGTTCCTTGACGTAGTATAATGAAATCATTCTCCCTTTTCTCTTGGACTATTGATGGAAGATATTTCTCGGTAAACTCCTACACAAAATTCAACCAAGTTCATGCTGTCCGCTTTCTCTCCCACTTAGCCCTAACTACATTCCACCAAGATCTGGCCTGTCCCTCAAATTGAAATACCGTAAAATTTACCTGCCTTTCCGCCGTGTAATTCAAGACGACGAAAATATTGATCATTGCTTCTAGCCATCTCTCGGCTACCTCAGGATCTGACCCTCCAAGAAATTTGGGAGGAGAAAACTTTTGAAACCGCTCTAAGCCCTGTCTTTCCCTATTTCAGAGTCCCTAGGCTGATTGACAGGGGTTTAACCCTACTGATCTACCAACCGAGCAAGAATATTAGTCAATTACTATATTGTCGTTGCCACCAGATCCACTCCTTCAGTTCGGGGTCCAGGTTCTGACTCAACCGTTGCACCTCTCTCTTCTCTCGATTCTTGTACTTGTTCTTGTACTCGTCTAGCCCCACATCCATGGTTAGAATCGCATCCTTGACTAGTCTCACATCCCTGATTTCGCCTACCCTCCTGCCACCTTTGAAAAAAAATAGACTATATAGGTATAAGCAAAATAAAGCAACTTACAGCTCGAGAAAAGCATTTTGAAATCATAAAATAAAAATAATAGAACACAATTAAAATAAAATACTCTCCTTATATATATATCATAACAAGTCACATACCCTATGAGACATTAATTCCATGTATTGCTCAAGCACTACACTTAATTACAACCAAATATGTACACTTGGATAATAAGGGTCCCACAGCTCACTAATATTTTCAATATCTCCCAAATCCAAACTATTTGCATTCCCCGTGCCTTGACTTTTGCCATCCAAACTTATCCCAATATTACTCGGGATATCAATTTAGCCTAAAGGTATCACTCGTTGGTACTCAGGTACAAAAATTTGAAAATATGATGATTCACCACTCGAGTTGGCCAGTCTCAAGAGGAAATCGACCATTTTTGAGATTCCTACCCAATATACATATCTAATTTTTCCTCAATAACAGAAATTCATTCCACACTTAAAGGTCAAGTCCTATAGTCCAAGAACCCTCTCTCGGCATGAGTTCAAAAGAGCTCTGATACCACCTATGACGACTCCATCTCTCCCTAGGACGTACCCCAGTGTTTAGCGAACCACCTGCCCAACTTTCGTCAGGACTCACTCACTCACTTCAAGAAAATAAGTTGCAACTTCAAAAGTAAAGGAAACTACAGTTCCCAAACTTGAAACGTACATATACATTCATTGGTATCTCAATCATTCTTACATTTCCGAATATAACAAGAGGTTCAACTTCTAATTGCACTTCTAATCCTAATCGAGCACTAACGCTAGTAGAATTACAAAAGTTAAAAGTCTAGACAAAACTAGCCTTTCCACCTTCACGCCTATGCTCGTAACCCCTATAAGGAAAACAAAAGCTACTAGAGTAAGCCAAATCTCAGTGAGGTTTCAAAACTTTATGCAGACCCAAGTAGCAAGTTGGCCATATGTAAAACTTGAAATCTCAAAATGAACCAGTGTAAAAATTCATAAAAGAAACAATAACACTACAAGTAACAATCATTTCAAAATATAAGGATATAGATAGCTCTCAAGAGCCAAATTCCCGTTACATTACTCGATCTGAACCCGTTGACACTCCGTCAATGTTTGAAGAAGCAAACCATGACCATAGATCTCCACTTTACACCAATTTCCATCCACCAAACAACCCCCTACCGGGCCTGAAGTTCAAAATAAAAGTGATGGTAATACTCGAATATAACGAATCTAGTGGATCATATCCAAAGGATTATACAATAAACAAAAAATAGTACCTATGGTTCGCTAGTCTCCTTGACCAAGCCCTTACTGGTTCGATTCAATTGACCAGCCAATAGAAAGGATAAAAGTAGTGAAACGGGATGTGAGACACATTCCACTCGGATTGAGTGTGGTACATACTACCGCTCAGCACTTACAAGTCAAGTACAAGATCTCAGGTACTATTCAAGTTGTACACATGTATATCAAGTCAATAATAACCAGTAAACAGTAGTAAATCACATTAGGGTAAGTGTGATAAAGTACACCCTTACCCGTCCAAACAAGTCAAGTATTTCTTTTAAATATCAAGTTCAATCATGTACTTGGAAACATTCACCAACAATTTATTTCTTTTCAAAACTACGTCCAAGGTCAACTCCTTGGTTGGAGTCCAAATCTGCCATAGAATATCATTGGACAATTTGAAAGCAATTAGGGTTCAAAATATAAGAGTTTCGCTCAAAGAAAAGCAAATAAATGAAACTCGTTGAAGTAGTATTCATTTCACTTATCAAACTCTAGAAAATTCATGCTCGCTCATTTGGTTTCGATAAAGAAGCGATTAACACTTTTAAGTTCACAACTTGGTCTAAAAGACGAGAAAAATGTATTTAAAGCGCTCGCTACTTTCGACTTTTAAAGGGTACGAGTTTTGGCAAAAAAATTCATCTTATATACATCTACTAAAGGAAACTTGAATACCCTAGATGACCGAAATCCAATTCATACTTGAATCACCGCTCAAGTTCCAAGTTCATTCACTTATCCCTCGAATGAAAATTTGGGCAGTATACCCTTTGTACTTGTCCAATTTTCCAGCCATTTATGGCTTCATTTTTTTTTGCTCAAATCAGCCCAATTCAAACACACAAGCAAGTATATCAAGATAGCCATTCCACTAGGCTAAATAACATCCAAATATAACTAATTTCTAGCAGCTACTCAATCACAACCAATGCTGAAATTACTTGCTAAAGCTGGAAATTCAACTTTCAACTCTAAAAAGTAACAATCATGCCACTAATCACGGCACAAATTTCATTTTCAATCTCAATAACAATATTTTCTAGTTAAACATCAATAATCAAAGCTGAAAAATATAAATCCTAACTGAAAATTTCACTACACCACCAAAAACTAGAAAATCATCCATCATATGCAAGATTAAAAGCTTCTATAGCATATTTAGCTAAATTAAGAAAGATAAAAGGGAGTTCTAGACTTATACCTTACAAAACCTTCTCGAAAGTGAGGAACCAAATAATTTCTCCCAAGACTTTCACCACATCAAGCTTCCCAAGCACCAAGATGAAGGTTTAATCGGTTTAGTTTTTTCGATTCAACTCAAATAAGGCTAGAATCAAGGTTGGAAATTGAAAGTTTCTTCTCTCTTTTCTCTCCTCTATGTCTTGGCCACCATGAAGAAAAGAAGAGGAAAGTGAGCCAAATTGGTAGATAAGAAGGAAGAAAGTTAGCTTAGTCAAAGTTCCTTTGATTTTTGACAAGTGTCATACCAAAATTCAATCTCATTTTTTTTCTTTTCTCCCTTTCTTTAGTCAAGAAGTTCGGCTGCTTGAGGGGGTACTTTAGAGTTGATTTTGCTGAAATAAAAGTAAGGAGATTAAGGTAATAAATTAGTGTTCAATTGGTGTACTCAATCGATAGCAAACGGTATACGTCGGTTCAAGACTTTTTTCCTTAACTCTATCGTACTTGTGTTTTAACTTGTGATTCACTCACTTATTATTAGTATTTCTAATCACACACTTTCTCCTACCTAATACTCACTCTTATCCACCAAATTTAGTACACACACCTCACCAAGTGGTCACACTACCAAAATGCACTAAAATCCTAATTTGCTCTAACTATAAAAGTAAAAGTAAAACACTCGATTCTATTATATATTACAACTATTGAGGGAATAAAATTAGTAGTAAAGGAATTATAGAATAATTTATTCAAAATAAGAGGAAATTATAAGAAAATATAAGCAAATTTTCAAGTCGTCATAATTTCAAGGTAACCATGTCAAGAAACCATCTCTTCTCTTTTAATTTGCAATTGAGTAGAGATAAGACTTGATTTTGATAGATTTCATGAAAAGTCTCATGGTTTGTGTAGTGAATCAAAATTTCCTTCTTTAGTTGAGGAAATTCAGTTTTAATATGTTAATATCAGGGTAGCTATGAATTATTGGCCTTGCCATGTGGTTTTTCAGCTTTTATATGATTTATTAGCTTTACCATAGAAATTCCAGCTTGTAGAGATGAACTGTTGCTTGTTGGCCACCCTTGGCATGGTGACATATGAGCTGGATAATTGTCTATTTTGGGAGCTTTTATGGTCCAAAATAAGTAGCTTTTATAGCCTACAATTTGTGGTCTTGATTTGGATGGATTTGCCATGAAGTTGTATGTTGAATTTGGAGGAAAAGTTGAGGACAAAACAGGAGAGATGCTGTCCGAATTTTGGGGCAGCTTATTTCCTTTAATTGTGGGCTAATTTTGTGATAAACTTGCTTAAGATGCTTGGCAAACATTTAATCATTACTTATGTGTTGAATTTTGGTTGAAATGGAAGGGTTTTCATTGGTAATTTCCTCCAATTTGCTGGTTGAAATTTTGCTTGTTGGCTAAGTGATAGTGAAGCATGTTACCTTGTTTTTCTCCAACCTTTTCATGGCTAGTTTTGGGCCAAAACTTGTTTTATACAGTGGTTAGGACTTTTGTGCGTCGAAGTTGGGTGAAAACTATGAAGGTTGGAAGGTGAAAAACCTCGTGATTTTGTTTGTTTCATGGCTACAAAAAAATTCTGGTTGGGATGGCAGCTTTGTACCTTGCTGCCTTTTAGCCTCAAGTCCTTAGTTTTGGTAGTCTTTTGGACACAAACTTGTTCATTCACCTAAGGTTTGGATTGTTGAACCATAATACTTTTATCTTGATTGTTCTTAGAATTTATTGGTGGTCAAGGGCATAACCCGGGGACGAATTTTTTACGTTGCTTTGCTTGAACTGCTGAGTGTTCTAACTGCATGTTCCGTGCTTATTGCTAATAGAAATTACTAGGGCACTTGATTTGTCATTTCATAGGCGAGTGTGTACTTTACCACACTTGACCTAACATGATTAAACTCTTATTATACAAAACCTTTTCACAAGAACTAATTTCAACATATTGTTGGCTTTTTCCTTTGGTTTTTATTTCAATAAAAATAAGAAAAAACTCTCTTCTTTTGTATGTTACATCTGAAATTGTTTTATGGGTATCAAATAAGAATTCTTTTTTTGAGTTTTAGGAGTTTGTTTTCTCACAAGTAAAATTTAATCCTGTAAGTGTGAATTTAGGACAAAAATGATTGATAGTGCAAATGTTTGAAAAAGATATAATTCATTACAAGCAATTTGTACAACTTTATAATAGGAATGCAAAGCCCAGGCAGAAGTTATACTGGGGCACAGCTACAGGGAGACGAACTTGGCTGCCGATGTCCTAGCAAAGCAGGCGGCAACTACACGACAGTCGGAGAGCTATGAAGCCGCCAGCCTACCCCAGCGAGTGAAGGGAATCACAGCTTTGGATGCACATCAGTACCCATATTTTCATCTTATGCACTAAATGTAAACATAAGCGCTCAGACTTTTCTTAGGGTTCCCCCTCTGTGGTTTTCTCATTACTTTTATCAATGAAACAAGTAGCCATTTTTTTCTTGAAAAAAAAAGGGAATGCAAAACGATGATCATTTTAAAAAATAAATGTTACTTATATCAAATCAACATGGTGTTATTTGACCTTTATATTTTGAACTTTGATCTATTCAATTGCCATTGCCCGACACATAAATGCACTAAGGATTCACTGACCACTCATTATAAGTTTTTTTGGCACAAAATATCTCGCCATCTATCAAACTGTATCTTACACCAACTTTTAATCATCAAAATAATTTTTTATGTCAATTCAACCACTCAACTAACTAATTAGTATATCCGTGGCTGAAACTATGTTGGCTGAAACTATGTACTTTATCGTTTCAACAATAAAGTTTGGTTTTTTTTAAAAAAAAAAATATCCATGGTTATTTCAGCCTATTTTGCTCCCAATCTACAAAATAAACTGAACATGTACAACTCATGTATCAAAACCTAAGGATAAAAATCTCCACTGAGTTGGCAAAAAACTCTAACAACCTCTAAACTATATTTGCTCGTATGCTTTTGGTCACTCAATTATATATATATTTTTTTATTTAAAATGGCCACTCAAGCCCCAAGTCTATATATTAGTGGTCATTGTGCGCCAAACTGAATGTTAATGTAATAGAATAAGTTGCATGTGCACTACACATCCCAAAGGACGCGATATGTAGGTGAAGCTCATTTTGTTAGCATTAATAACAATATTTGATGGAATGACCACTAGTGTACCGATTTAAAAGTTTAGTGACTATATTAAAATAAAAAAATATTTGAGTGATAAAAAATGTACGAGCGGAATAGTTTAATGGCCACAAGAGTTTTTTGCTTTCAGGTCGAAAAATTCAAGGGATATATTTGCCCTTAGATTTTGACACATAAATTGCATGTATTTAGTTTGGATGAAAGGACCATGGATATATTGATTAATTAGTTGAGTGGTTAAATTGAGATAAAAAATAGTTTGATGGTCAAAAGTTGAATCAGGATATAATTTAATGGCCTGGAAGATTTTTTTTCCTTTTCCTTGTAAGGTTCATTTCTTGACATTAGGCAGAAAATTCTATTGATATTTCGGCCCTGCATGGTTCAAATAGTTGGAATTCTCCACACCCCCACCCCCCCCCCTCCTCTCTTCCTTTGCAAGTAAATTGGCAGATTTTAACCAAAAATAATTGAGTGCAACGTTGAATTGGACCTGAGAAAAAAAAAATTCAAGCACGATTATGTCGATATAATTAACTCCAATTCCATCCTTTTTCTTTTTTTCTTTTTAATTTTTCCTGTGGTTGACTTCTAATTCTTTACGAGTCAAACTAAGTAGAAGCCTTTACGTCTTATATTTCCTCTTGTTTAAGTTATGTTGACTTCATTAAACCAAACTACTAAAACATGTTGGTGTTTCTAGTTTAAAAATAATATTACAAATCGTCTTTCTTTCCACATATTTCTCATGCTTTTCAAGTTAGAGAATGTTCTCATTCACTGCTACCCTTTCAGAATTTCAAGAAAAACTGCCTACTGAAAATAATATTTTTTTCAAAATTACAATGGTATGCTCATCTTTAAAAGTTTGAGCAAATTCTATTTGGCAAAAGTATCTGTGGAGCTAGTACTTAACAATAATTTTTTTCCCTTGAAACCTAAAATAAGGTAGTAGAAGTACAGATTGGAAGAAAAATTAATAAACAACCCCTTGAAACAATAACTAGTCAATTTTGAACAAGATTAAAATTGAAATTCTTGTCATGCAACAAAGTCAACTTATTTTGCTTTTGAGCCAAAAAAAACTTCCCAATTTCTGTATGTATATATGTATGTATCTGGTTCTAAGAGAAATTCTAGAATTAATAATTGTATCTTACTTCATCCTTTGATCAAAATCCAAAAAGTGGCAAGTTTACTTTCAAGTCCTAGCATAGCAAATGACGGGAACATTTTGCTGGCTTTCTAATATGGTGAGTTCAATTGTTTTGTAATTAAATGCAATGATGTGTTTCTTGTATTCAAATACAGCTAAAAGTGGCTAGGTAAAAATATTGCAGAATACCTTTTTTTTTTTCTTTGTAAAGGGTTGGATTGGACGAAAAAAGATAATAAATTATAAGTAAACGATTCCGGTTCAAGACATCATACTTACAATTAATAATAATAATAATAATAATAATAAATAAAGAGTACCTTTTCCTTTACAAAAGTTTTGAAACAAAATTATGCAAAATTTTAGTAGTCACTATTTGTTTCATTGATATCATTACAAGTAATCCGCAATAGTGAGATCGATCTATCCATTTCACGATTCATCACAAATCAATAGCATTATGACTAACCGTGCTTGGGTCGGGTTGGGGCGCCAAGACCCGGGCCGCAGGGGATTAGTCGGGCCCCGTAAGGATTGACCCGGACACCCCTATGTCGACAAAAAAAAATAAATAGCATTATGACTAACAAGTAACAATTGTTAAATAGTGGCTTAATTATTGATATCAAATTAGATCAAATCCATATTTTTGTGAAATTTGATACACCATGATAGATTTAGATTAGTTCTTTTATTTAAATATATAATAATAATTTAGTACTACACTTGATTTTAGCCAAAAAGCCCCAGAAAAGAATAGATTAGGATTAGTTTGAAAAACAAATAAGACTAGTTATGAAATTGTCGATTCATCTTAAAAGGAATCATTTTTTGTCTTATTTGAAATAATTATTATGCATAATGTAAGCAAAATAATATTTGATCTAATTTTGTATCAAGCACATCATGATTTCCCTTTGGGCCGTATAATTATAAAATAGGTTTTCATAGTTTTCAATACATAATTCATGGAAAGTGAAATAATTTGGAACCCATCAAAAGGGTGAATTTTTTACTGGAGAAATCAAAAGGGTGAAGTCAAGATTCTCCGTTTAGACTGAAGAAATACACATTTTACTTTTGCAGAACACGTGGCATAAAATCATTGCCCGATGCCTCGTGACTACACAACGTACTCTCTCACCAGATTCCACCCAACTGAACAGAATTCAGATGGCCCCATTTCCTCTGTGTAACTATTTCAGATTTCAGATACCATTTGCCAATTCTCTCAGTCACCCCCTCCTCCATCATCACAAAAACCCATTACACCTTCAAGAAACCAATCCCCAAATGTCCATCCCACTTGCATTAAAAGAGTAAAGAGTTAAAACATACTAATTGCATTGCAGTTGAAGTACTCATCAGCAGAGCAATTAATAGTAGTACTTAAAATGGAATATGAAAGAATCCATAAGAGACCTCAGCAGCAGAAGCAGGTCTATCATTTTTTTTTACTTTTGGGTTTTTGTCTATTTATTTTTTTATTCTTTTGGCCTTTGTCATTTGTCACTGTTAAAGGAATTGTAGGTAGTAGTACAACTTTCTCTTTTCCCAATGTGATTGTAGTTTTTGTAGTTTGCAAGTAAAGCAGCAGACATTTCATTTTCAGCTCTGTTTAGACTAGAGTAGTAGTACTGTAATAAATTTTTTGTTTGTTTTTGTTGGTTGCTTCAAGAAATAAAACAAACCCTTTTGATCTGTCAAATCTTTGAACACTTAGTTCCAAAGTGCTACCATTTTCCATCATTTTCAGTTGGCTTTTCTTGTTTTTTCCCCCTAAAACAGTTGTTGTTGTTGTTGTTGTTTTATTGCTTTATAGTTATCTCCTGGGAAGTTGAGGAATATGATATTGGGGACACGAGCAGAGAAGAAGAGAAAACAAGGAGGAGACGAAGAGGAAGAAGAAGATGAGGAGCTCGAGAGTACTAGCCTCTCTATGAGAAGATCCCCAGATTTTGAGATCCATGATTCAGGTATGACATTTTTGTTCACTAGATCATGTTATTATACGACATTTATGTGTATTTTCATGGTTGTGCATCTTTGGAGTAAAGGTTGTTACTTTCTGTGGTATTATAATTAATTTGGTGGAAATGCTTTCATTTCTTAGCTGGAAAAGTAAAAAGGGTATGAGGATTTTGACTTGCCATTGTCAATTTGGATAATTTACGGCAAATGATTTGCTTCGTGGATGGAAAAAGTAAAAGGGTATGAGGATGTTCAATCTGTTTGGAATCTCCATTCAAGTGGGACCTACGGAAGATCTCTTTTTTTGACCATGATGACTTCAATCTTGAATATCATGTTTTCTTTTCCTTTTTCTTTTCTTGACTTTTAGATGCTTATAGCTAAGCTTGAATAGAATAGCAAGGCTAAAGGAAGAAAGGGAAAAATGAAAAAGGAAAAGGAAGGAATCCTTTGTTTTCTTTCAATTTGAAAGCTGGGAAACTGAGTCAAGACTTGCTTTGTTTGGAATTTTGCGAGGAAAGGTATCTGATAATTTTTAATTATTTTGACTCAATGGACCAGTTACTGACTTCGGATGTATATATCCATGTTCGTTGAATCAGGGGCTATTAGTTATGATAATTGCAAAGATGTAGATGTCGTGACTGTGATTCCAGAGTACACAACTTTGACAGCACCAGCATCGTCAGTCAACTTGGAGATCACTTATGATGGTAGAGTGAAGGATCACTCCTTTACTAGCTCAAGAATTAGGTCTGTAGATGACAGTTCTTTCCACTATGATAGTGGGACTGATAGTATGAGTGTGTCTTCATCAGTCTTTGAGTTCCAGAAGTCTGACCATCGGGCACCACAAAGAGTGCCTCTTGCACCCTTTTCAAAACCGGCACCATCGAAGTGGGATGATGCACAAAAATGGATAGCAAGCCCGACATCTGGCCATCCGAAGAATGGCCAGGTCAATCAAGGGATTGGATTGCGAAAATTCAGTCAATTTGGTTATGGTAGCCGGCCATCATCTACCAAGGTGGTTGTTGAAGTGCCTGATCAGAGAATGGTACCATATGAGGAACCGGATACCAAGCGGATTGACTCTAGCCAAGCTAAGAAGGAGACCGGAGTGCAGAAGTCTGTGAGTTGGGATTCTAATCAGTTTGCTTCTGAATCATACAGCAAGCCAGTTCCCATGATGGAAAATTGCATCGGAGAGTCAGCAAGTAAGATAATATGCTTTTCATCAATTTCTTTGCCTATTAGAATTCTCAAGTTTCTTATCTGAGCTATGGTCTGGATGATGTCCATGGTACTTATCCTAGTCCAATGAAGTTGTTAAAAAGTAAATCTTGGGTTAAAAAAAAAAATTCTGTAACCTGGAATCACGCTATTTCATATCTGTCATATCAGTGAGCTATAAATAAAAAATCTAACTTTTTTTGGCAGAATTCTGATCTTGATCATTCTATCATTGATTCAGAATTCTTGGACTAATGCAGTGTTGTAACAAAAAGTGAAAAGATTTTCTTCAAGCAACAATGAACTGATCTGGTTGGAAAAAAAAAAGACTTTAGGTAAAACTTTGTTCTATTATGAGTATCTAAAGTCTTTAAAAGGCGTAACAACCCTAAATTTCTGAAAACTGGCAGGACATGGCTGTTAAAACCTTGAAAGCTAAAACTCCTTGTGGTTCATGTGATGATTATACATCCCTGCTTTTGTATCTGATCTTTTATCAGAGGGCACATATTAATCTTTATGCTTGCGGCATCTCTTTTATTTCCAATTAAGTATCTGCATTTATGTAATATGGTGAAGATTGCTTTGTGTAAAAGATTAAGTTTACATCTTTCAATGCCTAACCTTTCACGTAAAGCATATTTTCAATTTTGGATTATTGAAGAAGGTAGAGTTGAAAAAGGTAGCAAATCTGTCTATACTTAAATAGTGCTTTAGTTTGCTTTAAGGATTTACTAAAAGATTGCTCTAGACCTTCAAATTTGGTACAAAATATTAAAGCGTCTTTTGGTGCCTTGTATTGTTAATTTTGTGTTTCTTCCCTAGAAATTCTCTTTATTTGCATCATTGATGAACTTATGACTAGTTGATCATGGTGCTTTCTTTAATTTGGTTTGCTTTTTACGAACTTCTACCTGTTAGTGTATACACATATAAAATTTACTCTTTTTCAAAAGGACTTCTAGATTTTGCTTCTTGCCTTGTTTGCTTTGTGTTTTTCATCTTCTTTTTGTTTTTTGTTTTTAAATCTGAGTCAATCTTCAGATAACTACTGGTCAGTGAGATATTTAAAACATAATGGATTGATCAGCTGCTTCTTCAAGCTTCCTAGCTCAACTGATAAATCAAAGGATCAATGCCCTTGTGATACAAATATGAATCTCCATGCTAATCAATGGGCCTCTTTCTTTAAAAATAAATTTAGTACTGATGTCTAGGATAAATGTCATAGGGTCAAACCTACTTCATCTCTGAAAAGTGATATCGCCCAGTTACCTTCTCTTCTTTGCCTATTAACTTTCTTGCCTGTTTGGATAGCTTTAGATTATCAAAGTTATTCTCTCTATGTATGTAGAAAGCAATCTATCACTATGCTTATCTTGTATATCTCTGCAATTATTAATTTGAGTATGCTGGATATTTTTCTTGCACTTCTACTGTCTCCAGAAAAACATGTTTTGCTTGAATACTACTTCTTGTTAAGAGGAGTTAGGTGGGAACTACAGCCAATAACCCTAAATGAACATTTTGCCTCTGTTTTCTCTTCACCCTTTTGATGGATCTTTATTCAATATGAGAATAATGAAACTAATATAAGATAACTCATAGCTAGACTCAGAATGGCTGTCAAGAATTTTTATATTATTTTCACTCAAGGACCATTCTCTATTAACAAAAAAAGACCTTAATTTACCACGTAACTGCTTTAGCTTATCTAGATTGCATGTCCAAATATAAGCTTTTTTAAAAAAAAATTTTAAAAATATAGGCTTTTTTTTAAAAATATATATATATAGGCCTAGGACTTGTAATTCCTGGGCCTTAACCTTAGCCACTAGACCAATGTCTCCTTAGCGTCCAAATATAGGCATATACATTTGCAATACTATTACAAGGCCCCTCTTGAAATATTAGTTGCAATACTAAGTTTCAACACAAACAGTTACGATGTAGTTTTACCCATATCAATCATGATAGTTCTCAAGATGCCTTCCTTGGTTAGATTGTAAATTGCTCAGAATGTCCTTAACTTTTTCAAAAGGTTCCATTGGGCCTTTAAACTTTCAATTTGTTCATTTTGGTCCTTTATCATTCAATGCTGAGCCTATTTAATCCTTGAGGTTTCTTTCACAAATCAGTTAATACCTTTTACCCATATAAAATTGTCTATTATATATAAAACACCAGATCTGCCACATGGATTTGCTGAAAAATATACTTCATCCACAATGCATTTGGAAATCTTATTGAATCCACGCAAGTAATTTCATACCTATTTTAAACTAGTGACTAAAAAATGAAAAAAAAAAAATTGAAGCATTTGAAACTTCAATTTTGGTAATTTTCTGGGATAAAAGGCTTATCAATCAGCTTTAATTGCATGTCTCCACCTTTATGGTGTGGACTGCAATAATGCAACGCAGCTCAGTTATAATGTCAGATTGAAAGTAAGATCAAGCTATAGCTCAATCTGTCATCATGTGGACTGAAGTATTGTGTGCTCTGATTTGTTGAGCATGCTGATATCATGGTCAGTCTATTGTACATGAACTCACAAGCTAGATCACAATCAGCACTATTTTTTCTCATATACTCGAATTATTTTAGTAGAACTTTATGCAAAGATGCATGTATGTTCTAAGGATGTTTACTTTCTTGTATGAAAGTACCTACTTTAAATATTCTTATTGATCTAAAATCCAGAAACTGAATAAATTTTTCTTTTGCAGTTAACCTGAGCCGCCATGATTCATCTCTTTCCATCCACAGTGCAACAACATTCATACCAGCCCCATCAACTGCTAGGTCTGTGTCAATGAGAGACATGGGTACAGAAATGACTCCAATTGCTAGCCAAGAGCCTTCGAGGACTGGAACACCTGTGAGAGCAACAACACCAACTCGAAGTCCTAATTCTTCTAGGCCTTCAACTCCAGGAAGAGCTGCCCCAGCTCCATCTCCAATTGATCCTCCGAATGAGTGTTTAGATCCTGACAGAAAAGAGTGGTCTGAAAAGGAACTCCAGATGAAGACTCGAAGAGAGATCATGGTCCTGGGAACTCAGTTGGGTAAGATGAACATAGCTGCCTGGGCTGGCAAGGATGATGAAAATAAAGAAGCATCAGCATCAGTAAAAACTATATCAACAGAACAAGAAGCTAAAAGTGTCATTGAGACACGTGCTGCAGCTTGGGAGGAAGCAGAAAAAGCGAAATACATGGCCAGGTTATTTCTATAAAATACTTTAATATAATTCTAAGCATGGTTTATTCACTGAATGTGACTGCTGCTTTATATACAGCAGCAAGAGTTATTGTGTTGCATTTTCCTTTTTGCAATCTAAACTGCTCTGTCAGTTCTTCATGCTTTTCTGCATGTTGGTCTCTGTAAAATACAATATTTTCCTGGATACTGCATGTGGAAGATGTTGCTGTGGTTCTACATGCTAGATATCGGCAATCAGTCACAGGTGTGATGTAAATCCATGTGCATAATTGACAAAAGGACACAGACCTTAAAGTTGAATGTAAATCTAAAGTGAAGGATAATATAGTAGAAAGGAGGGGATATTACCTGCCAATTCTTGACTAGACTTTGTCTCAACAAAAAAAGCTTTACAAGAATTCTTAAATATGTGTATAGCAAACTAGCAAATTAACTGATCAGAGTTAAATATGTCATTTGGAGGGCTTATATAGTGATGCAGTAAAGTTTGCCAATCTAAAGCACTAACAATGGAACATGAAAGTCAAGTTGATTGGTATTATTATTTTCATTGTTTGGTTGGGGTCTCTGAATTATATGCTATCTAATTAGACTCGGAAACTACTGTGGATCTTTCAATTTAGGTTCAAAAGGGAAGAAATCAAGATACAAGCATGGGAAAATCACCAGAAAGCAAAGACAGAAGCTGAAATGCGAAAAACTGAGGCAAGTTCCCTTTGGTTCCCCCCTGAAACTTGTACACCAGATTGCAGATCTGCACGGCATTCTGGATTTCTATATCACACGCATGCTAACAATTTTCAGAATGTTCATTAGCCCTAATTGTTTATTTATAATTCTACCTGTTTATTGTTTAACCTCGAATCTTGAAATATTACAGATTTCACACACTCTCCTGCAATGTACTGTGGTTTGCTTTCAAATGAGAGGACTTTTATTTAAGTTTTTGCAAATGAATTTCAAGTGCTCGGCTGAAATTACATCATCTTTATCTGCTTCTTTTCTACTACTTCACTAGACTGAGAGATTGGAACAGGTAAAGGAAATTGGTGACTCATCTTCAATCATAAGATGAAAAATTAAGACAAGCGATACTGACATGATATGTGATTTGTGTACAAAAATTTCCTTTCTCCTTGTTCATCTAAAATACACAAACCACCCATAATTAACAGATCTCATGAAATAGCTTATATAACATTCCAAGGTCTGATAGAATACTGGAATACAAAAGGCAGAGATACAAAATTGCACTACACAGTTGCTACTTCCTCAAATTCAAAGCAGTTATAGGGAAACAACCCCAAAGATCAGTTTAAGGAGCTTTGCTGCCTGTTCTTCATTCTCTGTCCTAAGTTATAGAAGCCGTAGATTACTCAGTAATCCATTTTAGAACTCAATTATAACAGTACTAGTTCCAGTTATTTATTAAGACTTAACTATTTAAAAAGAGAAACAAAAAAGAAACGCAGTCGGGACTAGATTTCGTTTGTAGCATCATATAAGGTTGAAAGTTCTGGTAGAAAAGTTGTACAACTGTCACTAGATGGCATCATGAGATTTATGTATGATGTGATTTACACCTCAAGAGACTTGGGATCAAATTCTAGACGACCAAATTAATAGATAACTTTTATCAGAATTTACTTGTGTTTGAAGTTTATAGTTGGTGGTACAATTTCCATGGTTCCATTTCAACAATTTGGAAAAAAGCAGAAATAGTTCTCATACATTGCATTGTAGGACGTGCATGTTTTATCTGCTCAAGTGTCTAATCTTTCTGAAGTAACTCATATTTGGTTATTTCTTGGTGCTGACATTACATGATCGTAACTATAGCTCATGGTTTTTCAGGTGGAAGTAGAGAGAATGAGGGCCAAAGCACAAGATAAGTTAATGAGCAAGCTAGCAACTCTTCAACACAAGGCTGACGAGAAGCATGCGGCAGCAGAGGCTAAGAGAAACCGCTGTGCTGCTAAAACAGAGCAGCAAGCAGAATATATTCGCAGAACTGGGCACCTGCCTTGTTCATTTTCCTGCTGCCATTGGTGCTTTTGAAGCAAAATCCTTCGGTCATTGTTACAAATGATCTGTTTCGTGTAGTTGTCCTTGTATACGTCATTTCAGTGTGCTTTGTAAAAAAAAACCTAACTGGTCGTCGTCATGAGATATCGTAACTAAGATCATGTTGATTTGGCCCCTTACCTTTTTTGTTTTTGTATTTTAAGGCCTAAATATCGCAGAATTTGATGGTAGAGCTCTCATAATCGCATCCAACATGGGAAAAATAGACAATGAAATAAAGCTTGTTTATTCAGAGTGTAAATATCAGCTTGCGATCCTGAGGTCGCGCTTCTGGCTCTAGTCCTTGGGAACATCCATGGGTGATCATGCGTGGTGTTGGCCTGTTTTGGACTAATGTGGTCGGGATCCCTGTGGATCTCTGCTACTTTCTTCTACTTTCTCCAGAATCTGTTGGCACATTGCTACCCGGTACCTCCTCAATTCGTGCAGGTTGCTCGGGAATTGTCACTTAATTAACCTCTGAAGTTAAACAAGTAAAAATACTGTGAGGAAAACAAGTACCAATACGAACAAGCTCACTGTCCTCGTATACTGGAATCATGCAAATCAGTACTTCATCTGCTTCTAAATTTTGGTGGCAAGAGTGCTCACATTGTCCATATGACTATTTAACAGTCAAATGACCCGTATAAATGGATCTAGAAAAACTTTTTTTTTGGGTGGGGGGGGGGTGGGTCAGGGCTAGTTACCTCCACGATCTAGAATATAATATGTTTTGCTCCAAAGTTGGTAGGATTAGCAAGGGGTAATCTCATTACTTGATCTCTAGTCTCTACTTGATGAGGCAAAGGACTAAAGTACGGCCCTGGAAAATGGCTTCACTCATGGACTTAAAAAGGGATAGTTGTACATCCTATATAAATTTTAAACGTTTCTAGTATCAATCGACCCTGAACAGTGTAACATTTTTTAAACGTTGTAACTCTATATAAATTTTTTGTACATCCTTACAATAAAGATATGATATTTTGTTACTGTTCATGTGGGTCCTATATGTAATAATTGTATCTCTGTTGTTAAGTTTTATAAATAGTTCATGTAGAGTTGCATTTTATTCAAAAAATATTACATCGTTTAGAACAGTTGTTACTGACAACCGTTGGTGCCCTTGGTCTATAGTTGAAATAGGACCTGACACTTGCATGTCAGGTTGCCCATATTAATAAGTTGTCTGTATTAGATTATGTTTTTCTTCTAGGTGAATCAACTAATAATACAAGAGTTTGCTATAGATTGGATATAAGAAAAGCGTTTTTTTTTTTTTAAATTTATGAACTATTGCATGTATACATGTATATACAATGGGGCCTTGTTTTGCTCAATCTGCGATTAGGTGGTCCATGTGCAACCATTTAGTGGCACCAGCGTCTTAAATGCTGTGCCCATGGAATGATTGAAAGATAATAGTTGATCGTTTAGTTGCAATAGAGGCTTCTGTAAAGATTGAACTTGTTAATAGGTGAAATTTAAAAAGTTTGTGTAGAGATTAAAATTGTTAGTATTACCATGACGATTGCTGAGTTTTGATCGGTTTATGACAATAATTGGGTGTTGATGAGTTATTTGCTACAAGTAGACTTCGTCGGTATGGATTTAATTTTCCTTGATCGTAAGAATCACTGGTCTCATCTTGCAAAAAGCAATGTAGTGGTTAATTGTTTAGTCAATGTGAAAGAATCACTAAAATCATTATTTTTTTTTTTTAGTGTAAGTGGAAGTTTTTAATTCAAGATTTCTGACCTCTTACTTACAGTCACTCCTCTCGTACCGTCCAATTCAACATATCCTCCCCCAGCGCATTAAAATTAACATTTGGCGTGATGTACTCATTGTTGATGATAACAATTTCTAGTATTTGTATACTTCTGGCTCCAAAATGCATGGATGACTATGCAAAGTAAGCCTGTAATTGAAGAAATAATACCTTAGATTTTATAATTTTTGTTTAATATAAAGATAGAGAGATTGTGTAGAAGAGAAGTTACTATTCGCTAGTCATTGAGTCAGAATAATGCTAAATCAAAAAAGTATGTACAATTGTAGGCATTGTTGTTGAGTGTGTCTTTGTATCCCACATTGGGAGTTTAACAAAGAAATCTCTCCTTGTGGTAGTTATAAATATAGTGGACTTAAGTGAGTTTAAGCGTACTAAGCGTACCAACCCAAGTGTCATATGCACCAATCCAAGAGAGTTTTTAGGGGGCCCACGCCCCAGTCTAAGAGAGGTTTTGGTTTGACATCAAACCAAAAGAGCAAGTCATGGGCCTTTGGGCCATTAAGCATTTAGTGCTATTTAGGCTCTTTTGTGTTTTCAGTTTAGGTGCCTTTTGGACTTGGGAATTATTTCCTAAGGTTTTGTACTCTCTCTTTTATACTCTCTTTCTGTTATAGTAAATCTGCTACCCCTTCGCCCGTGGATATAGGTCAATTTGACTGAACCACGTAAATTTCTTGTTTCTCTGTTTGATTTATTTATTCTGTTATTGTCATTATTGAGTTGGCAAGAACCCTATTGTTCTCGTTGGTCAATTTCTTGGGACCAGACCTAACAATTGTGACTTGGCATTAAATTATTAATGAATATTTTGCTCTCGTTGAATAAAGGTTCGATTGAGTTGGCAATTAATGAATGTTTTGGACTCATTGAATAAAGGTTTGGATTGTTAATATTATCCCATAAGGACATGTTCCTAATTGGCATCAGGTGGTAGTAGTGTTTAGATGTTTGTATTGACAATATAGTTGGTTGAATTGATTTGGAGCTGATTGTCTAAATAGGTGGTCTCATTGCCATAAACAAATGCTTGAATTGTGTCATCCTGAAAATAATAAGTTCATGATCTTGTTAAATAATTTTAATAAGAGTAAATTTTATATACACTTTTAGTGTATATATTATCACGGTTAGATGGATGACACATGAGCAAATTTTGAATTTCAAATTCAAATTTTACACGTGTTTTGTATATCTAATAGTGATAGTGTATACATTGACAGTGTATATAAAATTAATCCTTTTAATAAACGTGATTTATACTAAAACAAGAAGTAACATGTTTCTTACCAATCCATCTGTGAATATGTACTGTTGATATATTTTGTTGGTGTGACGACCCCACCTCCCCCTAAGGCGAACCAGAGGGTTCGGCGGGCCGCCTGCCCGGCTCTCGCCGGGACTCAGTCGTTCACTAAAGTTCTCAAATGAATTACAAGAATAAACATCAAATATACATCACATGGTCCACAAATATACATCCAAGTCTCCAATAATTACATGTCACAAATGCAGCGGAAACAATTCCCAACTATACATAAATTGATCCCAAATCCAAATTGTACAAACTCATTTTTTTTTTCGGGGCGTCACAGTTGGCTTGTGAACTAAACTTTTCAGTTATTCAGTTATTCCGCATTTTGGATAATTGATTAACTAGAGTAAAATGAGGTACCATGTAAAATTTTTTATAAGGAATATATGGAATATAAGTCAATTGATTGAGATGTGGATAGGCAACTATAAAAGTTATTAGTTTGAACTGTGTTGTATTAGAGTGAAATTGATTACATAGGAGGTGAAACAATGATATTTTAGTGAGTTTTGTAACTCCAATTGCTTAGGTGGTATTTGCAAGGTGGAAAATTTGCAAATTTTTTATTTAGATAGATGCTATGTAGCTTTTGTAAATATATGTAGGAGTATTAATTATGTTAGATGGATAAATGCATGGATTTGTACGTTACATTTGTTGTGGTTGACATTTGGTATACTTGATGATTTGATATTTGCTTTATGTTGTCTTTCGGTGAATTGTTCTTTTAACGCGTGGTTCTTATATGTTAGTAGGCTTTGTATGTGTTTCTTTGTTTTTATAATAGTACTAGAGGAACCAGGCTGTGCAAGGTGTGAGAACCCGAAAATTTTCTTATTTTTATAGAATATTATTGGAACATTTAAATGATTATTCACTCATTTTCTTCGAATTATTTATTTCGACCATTTTAAATCCTTTTATATGGAATGACGCCTCTTTATAATTTTAAAGCGTTTTGTTGAAAAATTCGTTTTTCGAAAATTTGATTAGTCCGGAATGACGGGTGCATGTTTTTCTAGGCTATACTTGAATAGGGAGAGTATTAATATTGAAGAATTAAGAACGATCAATAATAGATTAAGAAAGGTTAATGGAGGAATTTATACTCAATTCACGTGAGGACTCGTAAAATTCCATTATTTTAAAATCCCTAATTTTGGCTAAAATAATTATTTATTTGGATTTTTGCCACGAATAATATTTCTAGCCTATTAGACCTAAGTACATGGTTTTATAGCTTCGTTATATTTTTTTAAAGTGTCTCGTTTCAAAAATTATTTTCTTATAAGCTTGTTTAGTGAAAAGGTGAAAACGTGTCCAAACACTTTAGCCAATTGGGATTACAATAAGCTAAAAATTTAAGACCTATACAATGGACCTAAAATAGACAATTTTAGGTTTAAACACACAAGTAATAACTAGTGGTACGATCGTTATAAGAATTTTTCAAAGGTTTTAATTTTTATTACGCCTAAATTAGAAATACGTGTTTTCACGTGCGCGCTTAATTGAGGGACTTTGGACCATTATTTTGGGACAATTAAGAATGAATAATATTTATATGAATGTAAGGGCCCTAGAGATTTAGTGCACTAGTGCAACAAACGTAAGAGAAATCGGATACAAAACGCGCGCGTAGGGTACTAGTTAAAAATTGATTTGACGTATCAAAGGATTTGACGTCAAGCGTCTTTTGTACGCAAAGGCTACATAGCCGAAATTCATTTCCTTTTCTCTGCTACAATGGCCGGCTAGACTGCAGCAAAGGAACAACCAAAGTCACCATTTCTTTTCTTCTAAAACTCAACCAAATTCTTACCAAAATTTCCCTAGATTCTCACCAAACTTCACATTCGTTTAGCTTTTCACTTGGACAACAACTTAGGCTGGAAAAGGGAGGAGTTTCACGGCTGTCTTCAGGCTTCATAGGGACCGAAATTTTCTGATTTGAACAGCCATCAAAGTAGGTAGCCATCTAACTTCTTAAACTTGTTTATGGAGTTTGATTTACGCATTTGAGTTGGAATCTTTACTTTAGTAGCTTGTATTGTTGGAAAAAGTGGGCTCTATGAATTCCCACTCTTGGGTTGTTGCTGATTCTGTGCTTGATGAAGTTTATGATGACGGATTAGTGTTTAAGTTAGTGTTT